TTTGTTGGTATGTGGTGCTGAGGATCGAACCCGGGCCGCACGCATGCCAGGCGAGCGCGCTACCGCTTGAGCCACATCCCCAGCCCCCTTGCAGTCTTATTTGAGATTTTTATTCTTATGGGGAAACAAAATGTACCTCTGGGTGGGCACGAGGCCAGGGACGTCCCGGTCCTGAGAGACGGCTTCAAGGCCACAGCAGTGGCCATCTGCTCTGTTGGAAAGCGTGGCAGAGATGCAGGCTAGATACCTGGGAGGGCCGTAAATTGGGGGGAATCCCTCGGGGGAGTCTCTGTCTTGATCGAAGAGGGCGGAGGACGGGTGGACACAGCAGGGTAAGAGCACCTTCCCGAGCTGGCCAGGTTTCTCCACGAATCTCATAACCAAGGGAGGAATCTGTGGGCCTCCTGTCCTGTGGAGCTGACTGGTGCAGAAATGCTGGCTGTGAATTTTCACACCACCGTGACTAAAAACCAGGGTCCCAATCTGGAGTATGGTGGTGGCCCAGCTTACACCGTGGATCCTCCTCCAAAGTGAAAGTCGTTGCTGCTAGACTTTCAGAGAAATAGCCTCCGGCTGGCAACACACTCTGCTCTTCCTGGGCCTCAACACAGGGTGGGCAAAGCCAGTGCCTGTGTGTGTGTGTGTGCGGGGGTGTCTGCCCGGGAGCAAGGGAGGAAGCGTGGTCTTTCCTCATTGATCACAAGTGCTTTGGGAAGTGGACAGTGGGACTTCAGGATGATGCAGAAAGGGGTAAAGAACTGAGGAAAATCAGCCATTCTCAGTGGCCAGGCAGGCATGATGCTTTTGAGATTTTAGTGGATCTCATAAAGCACTCATTTTATGGTCAGATGCCGTACACAGTGACACAAATGTCAGATGGGATGACTGCGTCTGTACAGGGCAGGGACAGATCTTCATTTCATGGGTGCTGTTGTTATTCTTAAAATGTCTTCTCTTTCGCAGAGGTCCTTGGGAAAGTTCTCCGGGGTTGCGTTTCTGGTGTCTTCTTTGCCGTCAGTAGCTTTCCTGTGGCGCTGCGCTCACTCTGTGAAGTGATGGAAAGCTCTGAAGTTTACCATGAGTCTTGGTTTGAGGAGGCTGCAAATTTGGCAACCAAACTTGATACCCAAATGCAAGTCCTCAGGAAATTCTGCAGGGTTCAGCAAGGTGACTGAGAATCTCAGCTCAGCTCCTGAAACCCTGAGCCTTCCACCAGTGCAGCCCATTATCCAGGAATTTAAAGACACATTCTCCGAACAGTGCCTCAGAGGTCTCAGAGCTCAGTACTAGGACAGCTCCAATTCCTGGGCTCAGAGGAGCACCACGCTGATATGCCCGGAAGTGACCTGCCCAGTGCTGACAGCTCCCAGCTCTTCACTGCAGGAGAAGCAAGTGGAAGATGCAGAGCCCCCACTCACTCACCGTTGATGAAGCCCTACCCCTGGTGACACTGGGTCTTCTTCTCATGCAGGTCCCCTGCTGAGGGTCCTGTGCACTCTCCCTGCGATGCAGGTGGAGAAGGAGACCTAGGAAGGCAGAAGAAAGTGTCTCCGAGTGTACTTGAGGAACACTGGGACAGACCAAAGGTCCGGTAACTTGGCTCTGCTTCACATAAGTTTTGATGTGACACAGGATCTGGAGTTAATGGTGGACACATATCCAAAGGCACAAAAGCAAGTCAGGGCTTCCTACAGATAATCCAGAAACTGTCAGACACACCCGAAAGACGTTTCAATGTTTCACAATTTGGAAGAGAAGCCTTAGGTATGCATTGGCCACATGGTCACCGAGTGCCCACAGGTTGGTGATCGGCCTGTTCCCGGCCCCTGTTTAGCTCTCAGGTTTTGAGGACCTGTTCTTCCAGGACACAGCACAGGAAGCACCATGCTTCACTTCTGTGTGACCTCTGCTAGTGGCACTCTGGACACAACATGTACTATCACCATGGGTCCAGCTGTTGGTGATGGAGGTTTGAAGAAAAATACACTGAGGAGCTGCAGGGAAAGGGCTGGGTCTTCGAAGGAGCTGGGATGAAGTTTCAAGTGTGTTGAAAATCTGTTATGGAACAGTTAAGGGAACAACCAGAGAGACATGTTTGTGAATTCCTCAAACAGATTTCCATGTAGACTTTGTCTTCATCAAATGAATAAGTGATGATTAATGCCTTTAGCAGGTGACTGTTGAACATTCCGCTCCACAGGACAATCAGAGGCCAACCACGGGCAACTGACATGTCTGCTTTCTTCTGTCTTTTTCCACGACTATACCTTCATCTTTGAAAGCAGAAATGACCAAAATGGGAGCAGATTTCGACCGATCAGCAATGACTTTCATGAAGCAGCCTAGTCCATCAGTCAGGCCTCAGAGGAGTAGAAAATGTCGGGGGGGGGGGCGGGTGCAACAGAGGTTGAAGTTATACAGGTCCTTAGCAGAACCAGGTCTTGGGAGGAGAGACTACCTTTGGTGGGCTTTAGGTGGGCAGGTGAATTTTGGTTGAATCATAGCAGGAGAAATTTGGGCTGCAGCAGGGAGAGAGGCCTTGAGCAACAGGAGGAAGGATTACAGATAAGGGAAATTGTATGCACTCAGGGCCTGTTGTCCTTCCCAAGGGAAAGAAATCATTTACAAACATGATTCTGTATCCTTCAGTCATGATTTATAAGCAAAACCTGGAAAATCTACAAAATAAAATATTTTGTGGTTTATCTAGAAATAATACAGAAAATATTGATGTCATTTTGGGTGAAGAAACTCAGATTTTTAATAGTTTACTTCGATCTAAATAGAATGTGACTTGTTCAAAAAAAGTTATGGAATTATATATTCACTGGTCATGTTGCATAGATGTTAACATGATTATGGTGTGTTGAAACAACTAGAAATACATTTAAATTCAGTCAGTTCTACGCAATAAATAAGTATGTCTATATACATGTTCATGTATATATGCGTATATACATATATAGAATCACTGACTATATGAATTATAAACCATATTTGAATATTTCTTGTTATGAACCTTTATAATGCTTTCCAAAGGAATGCATTTATATATTAATTTGTTCAAATAATTAATTTGTAAGCATTATTTATCTTCAGCCACTCTTTCAAGGAGTCAGATTATTTACTTATTTATGGACTCAGCTACCCACATTGAATTTACTTACTTATGTTGATACCACCTTGCTTGTATTAGAAATTCATTAAAAATGCATATATCAGGTTGAAAAAAAAAGTTATGGAATCAATCTAAGTGCCCATCAACAGAAGAATGGATAAAGAAAATGTGATATATGTACACCATGGAGTTTATTCATTTACCTACAAGAATGAAATTGCACTGGGGCAGCCCCAGGTGAACCTGAAGGACATTAGGTTAGGGAAACAGGCCAGACAAGGCTCAGAAAGAAAGTGGTGGCTGCTGGGGCCTGGGCCGGGGGCAATGGGAGATGCTGGTCAAAAGGGAGGAAGTTTCAGTTCCACATCACAGAAGGGCTCTGGAGGCCATGGTCACTGAGGTTAACAGTACTGTGCTGTCCCCTAGAAGTTTGCTGAGACCGTTAGTGTTCTCACTATAGAAAAGGAAATATTTGGCAGTAGCCTAGGTGGGTGGGGGAGGAGAGTATGCAAATTAACTTGAATCACTTTGTAATGTACATGTGTGCCAAAATGCCAACTTGGGCTATCTTCAATATATAGAATTCTTTGTATGGGGCAGGGGGGGGGAGAGAGAGAGAGAGAGAGAGAGAGAGAGAGAGAGAGAGAGAGAGAGACAGACAGTCATGGGAGAGAGAGGAGAAAAGATTTGCAGCTTTTTAGAGACTGGTACTGGGGATTGAACTCAGGGGCACTCCACCACTGAGCCACATCCCCAGCCCTATTCCATATTTTATTTAGAGACAGGGTCTCACTGAATTGCTTAGTGCCTCTCAGTTGCTGAGAATTTACAATCTTGGAATTTACAATCCTCCTGCCTCAGGCTCCCAAGCTGCTGGGATTACAGTTGTGTGCCACCACGCCTGGCTCTAATTTCTTTTCTTTTTCTTGTCATTATTTTTATTTAAAATTTCAAATTTGTCTTAATTAGTTATACGTGACAGTGGAATGCATTTATGCACTGTGATAGATCCTGCATAGATGGAGTGTGATCTCTCGTTTCTGACTGTACCCGGTGCAGAATCACATGGTCACGCACACATGCATTCGCGTAGAGCAGGAATAATGGCTGTTTCATCCTGCTGCCCGTCCTCTGTCCCCATATCCCTTCCTGCTGCTCTACCTAACATGACTTTGAAGGGAACCGTGAGCAGGGCGGACTGAGCCTGGTTTCTAAAGAAGGTGGGCGAAGAGCGGAGGGGCTTGGTGTTTCCCCCGACCTTAGGCTGAGGGGTCCACACGGTCCAGCGAGGCTGTCCCCAGGCGCTACCCGGAGATCGGAAACCAGGACCCAAGTTCAAGGACACACGGTTCAAAGCAGCGAGGTCCCCGCAGCAGCGGGTCGGCGAGGGGTGAGGAACCCGCCATCCGCCATCCGAGGGAGGGAGGTGCCGACCGCGGGGTGCACCTCGAAAACACCGGCTAATCGTGTGGCGCCGCCGTTGAGGGGAGGTGACCCGGGGGATGGGAAGCGGGTGGGTGGCAGCCGGGGTGGGGGGAGGGAGCGGGGATCCACCCCAGGGCACGCGGGGCTTCCTTCTGGGACCGTGAGAACCGCTTTGGAACTAGGTAGAGGTGCTGCGGGGTGGACTTAGGGTGGACCCCACGCTGCGGAACCGTGCATTCCAAAAGGGCTGATTTTACGTCGCGTGCGTTTTCATTTCCATTAAAAAAAAATCCTAGGCTGGGATGCAGCTCAGAGGCAGGTCAGGTGCTGGGCCCGTGGATTCACAGAAAGCAGAATAGCAGGGCCTCGCCGGACTCCAGCGTCCTTTTGACCAGCAATGACACAAAGGACCTGAAACGCTGCACCTCTAAGAGGCTCCTCTTCCGGAGCCCTTGCCCTCGCACGCACGGTGGGAGATGAAGGCCGAAGAGCTGTCTATGCTAATAAACGCCCAAATTACAACCCCAGCTCCTCACCAGCTGGACTTCCAGGAACCCCTGCAGGTGAGGTGAGGGGACTCCTGTCAGGCGGCTGTCACAGGCTGGGGGGGGGGTAACCGAAGCCTGGGAAGACGCAGGGGCCACCACCACCCCCCAGGGCCCCTCTGGAGAATACCCTCGGAAGACGTCATTATTAGCTAATCACCAATTCTTAGAAAGGAGTTATCAAACAAGGTAAAGCAGTCATTGATTTAAAAAAAAAATTTTCTCACCAAGAGTAGGGTCCAAAGTTTTCTATTTAATTTTTTATTGTAAAATAACAGATAATAGCTTCTTTGATAACTTTATCAATAAAAACTAAATCTGGGAAGAGAGAAAAAAGGAAAGAGAAGGAGAAAGAGGGAAAGAAAGGAAGAACAGACAGGAGCAGTCTTTGCGGAATGATCTGGAAATGCATTAAGTGGAAAAAAAAAAAACAAGGTGCAAAGTTCACAGAGTGAGCAGTGGAGAAGACAGGGCACAGGTCTGTGCACATTCACAAGCTGCTCCTATAAGTGTGTGCAAGGAGTTAGTGACAGTGTGTGGGATGAGGTCACCGCAGATGTCCATATTTCCATTACAAGTCATTACAAGTGTCACCTATTCAAATCGAAAGGACTAGTCCCTGCACATAGTAACCCTGTCCCCAAGTCCCCCTGTCCCCAACACCCCCAGGTTGTCCCTGGCTCTGTGGTGGGTGGATTCCAAGAGGCTGTCCCATGTCATTTCGGACCCTGGACCACTCCTGGACTTCCCTCCTGCCCCACATGGTGGGATGTCGCTGCTGCTCTCCACAGCCCCCTGGAATTTCTGTCCCTCCCTCAAGGAAAGGCCGGAGGGACCCTTTCCCAGTCACCTAGCAATCTCTAAGCTCTTGATCCCCACCCAGCCCTCCCTTGTCTCCCCTGGGAGTCTTTATGTAGTAGGGATGGGGGGGTGGTGAGTCGGAAACCTTCCATTATTGTCTGATCATATTTTAATTTTTTATGGGGCAAAATACACATAACATAAAATTTATAACAGTCACCGTGGTGTGCAGTCCAGCAGCATGAAACACAGTCACAGCGTCGTGTAACTATCACCACGACCTACCTCCAGAAATTTCCATCGTCCCAAACTGAAACTCTGTCCCCGTTAAACATGAACTCCCCACCCTAACCCACCCATCATTCTACTTTCTTTCTCTGTGGATCCAAAGACTTTAGGGACTTCCTGTGAATGGGATCAGACCAGATATGTCTACTTCATGGACCATAATGTCCTCGGGGCTCATCTATATCATGGCAGGCGAGGATCTCCTTGCTTTTCAAGGCTGTGTGATTTTCCATGGCATGGGTGGACCAGATTGTGTTTGTCAGGTGGGCTGCTGTTTGGCTTTTGTAAGCAATGCCACCCTGCACAAATGCATACTAGAGGAAGCTTCTGGTTCACATCTGTTCTTGTCCTCTGGTGTCTATTGTGGAGATCCCTCGGAGGCTCCAGTTTCACAAACCCAGTGCTGATTTTGAAACCTGCTGAGATATATCCTCCCACAAAGTGAGTCACTTTTATTTATTAACTTAAAAATATTAATGGCCTTTATTTTCAGGACAGTTTTAGACTTACAGGAAAATTGATCAGTGAATGTACAAAATTCCCACATACCCCATGCCCATGCACATGTTCCTCTTTTTAACATCTGCTGTGGTCTAGGTACACCCTGTACGTCATGTGCTGGACCTGATGCCCAATAGAATGGCAATGGTCAGGTGGATTCCTTGGGAAGTGACTAAGTCATGGGGTTCCACCTTTGTGTCCTTATGAAAGGGGTTGGGGGAGGCCCTGGCACCTTCTGAGGACACTGAAGAAGCTGCCATCTTTGAAGCCCACACCAGACACCAAATCCACTGGTACCTTGATCTTGGACTTCCATCCTCCAGAACTGTGAGGTTGTCCCGCTGTTTATAAAATACCCAGTCTAAGGTGTTTTGTTACAGCATCCCAAAGGACCAAGGCAGTATCTTTCACTAGTCTGATACCTTTGTTAACAATTGATGAACCAAGGTAAATATATTGTCATCAAGCAAGGCCCACACTTTATTTACATTTTCTTATTTTCTATTTATTATATTTTTCTTTCCAATAACTCTCCCAAGACAGTTAGTCGTTGTGTGTCTTAGGATCCTCTGGGAGGTGATATGCTACAGCACTGCTCTTATTTTTAGCTTTGAGCAGGGCTGGTGAGGTAGCTCCTGTCCATCCCAGGAAGCTGTCTGCCTATCCAACAGGTGTATCAAGGAGGAGCTGGTACCAGGGAGCAAGTCCTATAATCCCAGGACTCCTGAGGCTGAGGCAGAAGGATGGCAAGTATGAGGCCAGCCTGAGAAGACAACTCAGTGAGACCATGTTTCAAAATAAGGGCTGGGGATGTGGCTAAAAATACAGAGCTTGCCTAGCATCCGGTAGGAAGCCCTGGGTCCCACACTCAGCCCTGCCTCCCCATCCTCCCAAAATGGGGAAAATAGTAACAAACAAACAAACAAAAAGATCAAATAAACCAATCAGGAACGTTGACCAGAATGCACCCATTGAATGCCAAAGAAGGTCTCATCAGCATTTTGGGAAGGCAGCAGAGGCAGGGTGAGGTTGGTGCAGAGGGTGTCCCCAAAGGCCAGGAATGTCAGGCGCTGGGAGGTGACAGTGCAGCCCTGGTGGAAATTCAGGCGCAGCAGGCTGATCCTGTGGGTGTCTGGGGAGCAGATGCCCACAATCAGAGTGGCCTTGGGAGGCACCGTGGTCCACACAGAGGAGCAGTTGGCTAGTGTCACCTGGATGTGCAGCCTGTAGAAGCCATCACGAACGACCCGCAGCTGCCCGTTGACCAACGCTGGTCCATGCCGGAAGGAGCGGCCCAAGGCTGGGTCCGCCTGCCAGCACAGCCTGGGGTCCAGCCGGGGACCTGGGGCAGAGGGTTGGGGGACAGAAGGTGGAATTTAGGGAAACCTAGGTGGACAGAAATAGGGAGTGCGAGGGAGAAGGAGGGAGGGGGGCAAAAGGAGGAGGACAAGGAGCAGGAAGGGGAGGGAGGAGGGAGGGAAGCAGAGACACGGAGGAGACCCAGAGGAGCCTGGACCGCAGGCAGAGGGGCAGAGAGGAGGGAGGGAGGGAAGGAGGGAGAGTGCCAGGGTCCTGGGCTTCTCTCCGCCTTTCATCATTTCGAATATGAGCTGGCGTTCTCGTGCCAGAAGCAGGGCTGAGTCACCAGTGACATGGTCCTGTCCTCTGCCCCCTCTGTGCCAGGCATGACTACTCCCAGGTGGCCCCCTCCCTGAAGATAGTCACTTTGACTGGTCCCCTGATCCCTGCACCTTGAACAGCCTGTACAGCTAGGCCACAGGGATCACTCTCAGTTTTTCTCTCTTTTACCCAGTTCCTGTTGTGCCTTTCAAGAAGAAAAGGCCTCGGTGAGGCCTTTACAAGGTCCAGAGGGGCTCTTGCCTCTCCCCCCTGTGCACCACTCTCAGTCTCATCCTGTTCCTGAGGCACACCTGAGTCTCCCTCTCCTCTGGGTCAGGCTCCCAGACAGGGGCCATCGTGAGAGGCATGAGCTGGACACAGGTCAGAGGAGAGCCACCAGAGTGCTTGCCAGTGTCGAGCTTCCTGTGAGAGGGACACCTGGTCACGGGTTGGACACTTGAGCAAACAGAGCATCTGCCAGGACCAAGAAGCCTCCTAGGGAGGACACATGGTAAACTCCAGACCAAATGTCCTGGAGCCGCGTCAGGGCAGCGCCAGAGCCCACAGCCACTCTCCCGCCAGAGCCCACAGCCACTCTCCGGAGACCCCCAAGGCCAGTTAGAGGAGGGAGGGGAGGGGGGAGGGGAGGAGGGAGGGAGGCAGACAGGCAGCCTCACACAGAGGGGGCCAGGGCCCAAAGGCATTAGGGAGAGGCTAGAAGTTCTTCCCGGCAGACAGCATGGGGGGCCTCACTTCATATGGCAGTCCCAACCCCCACTTGGCTTAATTCTTCCCCTTGCCTGTGGCCCTCCACTTGTCTTCCTGTCCCTTTGTGAGTTTGTGTTGGGGAAGGTGCTGGGGGAAGCCAGGGCTGCAAAGGCTGGGCAGCGCTCGGTCCCAGAGCTGCCCTGGTAAGCAAGCCCATGCTCACTGTCACCCTCCTGGGTGGCAGGACACTCCCCAGGGCAGGGGCTTTGCCTGCTTTGTTCCCCACAGTGGCACCTATAGTGGCCTTTGTTCCACATGGTGGAAAAGAATGAAGGCAGCGCCAGCTCTGGGGTGAGGGGGGCAGTTTTAGTCTTTTCCAAGGGAAGAGACCCGGTGTGAGGAGCACACGGTCTATATCCGGAAGGTGGTGTCCCGCAGGGCACACACTCGGCTCCCGCTCTCTGGACTTGCCCTGCTGGCTCTCCGTGTCCCCCGCCCCCACTAGACCAGAGTTACCTGTGAGGTTCAGCTGGAGCTCGGCTATGTCCCCCTGGAAGAAAAGACCAGAAAGGAGAGAGGACGTGAGCACAGTGCTCCACGCCCCTTCGGCCAGGGTCTTCTCGTCCACTCCTCATCCCTCCGGGCCCAGGCGTGATTTCTGAAAGACCTCTTAAAGAGGAAGTCGGTTTGAACGGCAGAGAGATTAAAGCCAAAACCTTGAAAAGAACTTCCTACTTTTCCTGGAACTCTGCGCCTCCGAGCTCCCTCCCGGAGCCACCGCGAGGGTGGAGCGGCCCGCACACCCGCCTCCCTGCAGCAGCGGCCCGAGCGTCTCCAGGCGGCCGGGCTCACGGGCTGCTGCTGGCTCTCCGGCCCTGGCAGCCCCCTCCCCAGGGCCCCCGCCCCCAATGCCAGCTTTGTGAAGCCCCTAGCAGCCTCTGAGTCAGTCCGCGGGGGAACACCAGGGACGAGTCATCGTCCCTGCGCGAGTCGGATGCACCTTTCCCACCCGGGATCCCCCGCACCTCCCGGGCAGCGGGGCCCTGCGGGGCCTCCTGCTCCGCCGCTCTCTCTGCGCTACGGGATCTTGCTTTGAATCGTTTCATTTCCATTTTGTCTTTTCCGTTCTTCGGCTGTGCCTGGCGCTCCGGCGCACGGCCCCTGCGCCTCTCCCCCGGGCTCCCCACCGGAGGTCCCTGGGCCCCGGGAGCTGGGGGCGAGTGTGCCTCCTTTCCACTGTTCCTTCTCGACTCACCTCACGTCCCTCGAGCCGCGGCGGCTGCTGAAAGCAGAAGGCGGCCAAAACAGCGAAGAGGATGACCGAGAAGACGTAGGGCGAGACGGTCTTCCACGGCGAGCGGCGCACCGTGCAGCCCCAGCCCTCCTCCGGCATCGCTGCGGGCAGGGCGAGGGGACCCCGAGCGCGGTCGGAAGAGAAGGAAGCTTCGGCCACCTCGCCCAGCTCTTGAACTTCTGCCTGCCTGAACCTGCCGGGACCTCTCTGGGGATGTCCGATGGAGGCGAAGGGCTTGATCTGTTCTGCGGGCAGGGAAATCCCCTCCCACTCAGCCATCCCCGAGCTCCCAGCCGAGTGCGAGGGGCGTGGAGGGGGGTGGGGAGTTGCCCGTCACGCCCTGCCCTGCCCCCAGGCCGAGCATTCCACCTTCCTTTTGGGGTCCCCACCTGGTGCGCCTTCGTTCACTCACAAATCCTCACTGGGCATCTATTGGGGTGGGCGGTGTGGGGACTCCCGTCACTCCCTGCCGTGGCTGGGGTGGAGCGCAGGCCCTTGCGTGCTGGGTAAGTGCTTCACTGAGCATCAAGGGCCCTCAAATCACAGCGGGCTCTGGCCTGGGAGCCTCGGCTGTCACCTTTAGCAGAGTGTGTGTATGGGGGAGGGGGGACTGTGGACACTGAAACTGGACAGTTTCATTTGACGGTGAGGGAGGATGGTGGTCTGAACTAGGGTTCAAGGGCTGGAAGAGGAGGGAGATGAACAATTTCATTTGCTGCTATAGCAGGCAGACAGGTCAGGCGAAAGGGAGTCCTGCAGGTCGACAGTCCTCAGGGTCCAGGCAATCGGCATACACTCCCCCCACCCACCTCCAACCACTGAAGATTCCAGGTCTAGGGGTTCAGCTGACAGCACCCCAAAATGACTCCCCATCCTAACATATCCCAAGCATGGGGGCTCGACCTTAGGGACTTTTTCTTTATCACTATGTGATACACTCCCCACTGTGTTCTGTCACTAGCTCCATTTGTAGAATCTTCTAGCCCCCATTTCACAGTCACATTGCACCCTGTCTCAGTCCCACTCTAGATTTTTGCCAGGTCTGTGCTGTCTGCCTGGATTCCTTCCCCCACTGCACCTGACCAAATGCCCTTCTGAAGTGATTGCTATGGAGCACGGTTGATGCTGCAGAGCAGATTTGCATTGTGACATGAAGAGCTGGGGCCTCCCCACTTGGTGACTGAGCTGGGTGTAGTTTGTGCTCCACGTCCTGCAGCCCTGCTGGAAGTTGAACAAGTTGCTATGGTTGGCACCCAGTATTCCCCAAGGGGGATACTGTTAAAGGCTTGGTCTCCTTTAGGAGGTTGGACCTGATGTGAGGTTCTTAGGTCTTTGGGGTCCATGGCCACTTCCTAGCTCTCTTTGCTTCCTGGCCATAAGGTGAGTAATTTGCTTCACGGGGCACTCCCTGCCAATGCCATGTGGCACCCTCATTAGAAGCCCCAAGTGTTAATCTGTCCAGTCCTGGACTGGAATCTCCAAAATGGCGAGCCAAAATAACCCTTCTCCCATGATCAGTTAATTACCTCAGGCATTTCATTATGGCAGCAGAAAGCTCATACATACAGCATGGGTGATGTCTGACGTTTTCTGAAACCAAGACCTCCCCACCCGCAGACCGCAGACCGTATAGCTGAGGCTGGGGGAAGAGAATTCCCTGCTATTGCTTCCCGTACCCTTGAAAACTCATTTCCTCCTTCCCTCTCTATTTTTCTTCCTCCATGCAGGAGAAGGAGTTGAGGGGACTCTGGGGAAAATTGGGACGCGGGAGGTAAGGTAATTTTCCCCCAAAAGGAAGCCTAGGACCCACCAGGCGCCTTTGCGCTGCCTTTTGGTTTCCCTGTGGGACACCTGGAAACTTCTGCCTCCCTTCGTGCCCCAGGGATCTGAGGGCATCTTGGAAACCCAGGCTTCCTCCTTATCCAACTTGGCTGCCTCTTTCCCTTCTATGTGGCTGGCTCACACCCCACAGGGTTGTGCCCACTGACACGATCCTTGTCAGAACCTTAAGAAGAAAAGGGACAAAGGCCCCTTGGCTTAGAGCTCCCACCTTAAAGATCAGGCCTCCCACTCCCGCGATTTCAGCTGGGAGGAGGGACGTCAGGACGCCTGTGTCTCAGAACTTATTCTCCCCTACTCTACCCCTGTGCCCTCTGCCCCTCACAAGCCAGAAGGGACAGTTAGATGCTGAAATAGGCAAGGAGACACAGTATTCTCTTAGGTCAAAGTCTGGGTTGGTACATCAGCTTTGATCTGACGACAGACCGGAGTCTGTCACATGCCAGGAGTGAAGCCTTGGTCTTCAGAGTCCAAGATGGCACAGTGCCTGGCCAAGTGCCAGTCAGCACGGGGTGGGGGGGGGAGTAAAGAAAGGCACTCCCCCTCTTTAGCAACACTAGTTACAGGAATCAATTCTGCTCACAACCTGCCGGCCAGAAATTCAAGGTCACATGACCCAGGCTCTGCCTTGGTTAGGACAACAAAAGGAATCTGAATTTGGTCATCCAAGCTGATACTTCCTCCTCCTCCTGAAGGTGGCGAGTTGGTCCGAGCAGGCTGAGCTGGTGAAGCTGAGGAACACACAGCTCTCCAGTGTCTCTGCACAGTACCCGTTCTTGCTCACACTGTTTGCATACCAGCGAGGGGTTCGGCTCACGGTCGGCTGAAGAAGGCTCCCTGCCCACGCAAGAGTCGGGAGGGAAAGTAGAAAGTCTCAGGTGGACTCACGTCAGCGCCACTCACTTTCCACTGGTCGAAGCGTGTCCCGTGGCCCTGACTAGCTTCAGGGTATATAGGGAAGTGGGGCGCCTGCGTGGACCTGAAAAGAACCAGGCCGAGAGCACTCTTCAGTACCAGAACCCACCCATTCGGCTACTAAAAAGCTCAGGTCACTTCCCCTCCTGCTTGTAAAATACACTCATCACTCCCTGGAAAGTGACCCCACGTCCCCGCCACCCGGTAGAGTATCCACCTCAAGTTCGGGTACCTAAGTGGTCTAGACGGCGTGGCGGGTGGTGTGTGAATCTCCACGACAAGTCCACAGACCCCCCAATACAAGGTATTTTACCCCTTCCATTCCCAACCTCTAGTGGGGTGTCATGGACCCACAGGAGACACTCCCACTTGGAACCAGAAACCTCTTGGGCACACGCAGCAGCAATTCTGAAGTGCGGCCGCACAGATCTTACGAATGCTCTTGGACTCCAGTGGGCTCCTGGGTGCTCCACTCACCCGGCGACCTCTGCCTTTCTCATTTTCCTTCCTGTGTTCTCTCCTTATACTCACAACCATGAGACGGGGCAAAGGAAAGTCAGAGCAGACGGTGAAGAGCCGGGTCCAGAAGACCTGGCAGAGGCCTCCAGAGCCCTCCCCCTCCTCCCACCCCTCGGCAAGAGCCTGGGGGAATTGCTCCTGTGAGGGGTTGTTAAGGAGTTCCCCCTGGGCTGCTCCCTCCCTGCCTTTCTGGGCAGATCTGGAAAATCGGGAGAAGCACCCTCGTGTGTGGCTTCTTTCCCGTTGACCACGTAGGCAAGATAAGAGGAGGAGGGGCCATGAGAAGAAAGGAAACCTAAAATCTATAAAAGGGGCCAGACACCCCCACTCCCTTGAACACCAGCTCTGGACCCCCCTCCTCTCCAGAGAAGCCTCCCGCCACCCCTCTGTGCTGCCCTTTAAACTTTCTGCTCTTGCCCCAGCGTTTCTCAGTTCAATCTTCAACGCTGGGGGGACCAGACCCCATCCTGATTTTCAAGACCAATTTCAATGACAGAACCCTCCATTTCCAGTTGGGTGCGTGGCTATTCAGCGCTAAGAACAGTATTTCCCAGCATCTCTTGCCTGGGTCATATGACTAAGAGGGATCTGGCGAAGCCACTAAATTCTGGCCATTTCTGCAGGCAGACCAGATTCCAGCAACTACTTTTGCTAAAAGGAAGGGGGGTGCCTTCCTTTCCCCTTTCCTCTCTTGCTGCCCGGAACTTGGCCATGGTGGTGTACGATCTTGGACGTCACTCTTGGCACGGCAGAAACACAGGAGAAAAAGTTTACACTCTTGAATGCTTTGCAGAGACGGGTGATGTACCAGCACAGACATTCACATAGGAGAAAAGTTCCCGTTATTTTTTGGGTGCTTCTTTATTGATTTTTTTTAAAGGAATGATCTAGAAATGTGGTTTCACTTATCTTATTAAACCTCCTGAAAACTTAATGATTTCAAAAGTAATGATATTTTTTCCCTCATAATTTTCTCTCAGATGTGTGGTTACTGACTCACAATGGGGTGGGGGATTGCATGGTGACTCACAATGGGGTGTGGGGGGTGGAGGTTCACAGGACTGGACCAGGGGAGCGGGGAGTGAGGAGAAGCACCGAGGTTCACCAGATTGGATTGGAGGAGAGCGGAAGGGAAGGGGCTGAGAATGGGAAAGACAGTAGAATGAATCAGACGTAACTTTCCCATGTTTATGTATGAACAACATGTGACCGGTGTAACTCCACCTGGTGTCTAATCACCAGAAGGGGAAGTTCTACCGCCTGTAAGTGTGGTATGTCAGAATACCTTCTACTGTCCTGTGTAACTAAAAAGAACAAATAGAGAATTAAAATAAAAATATAAAGCACTTTCACAAACAAACAAAAGCAATTCTATGGGCTGCTGGGCTCCGTGTGACACCTGTTGACACCTGCTCTGCGTGGTATCTACAGAGGCACCCAAGAAGTGCCCCTTACACTGATGCTTGGTGAGCCTCAGTTTCTCCCGTGTGATCTGTTACTATTCAGAAGCCAAATCCAAGCTGCTTCTTTTTTTTTTTTTTTTTTTCAAGTATCGAACTTACGTTGACTGAGCCCCTGCTCTGTCCAAGCCACAAGACAGGGCTCTTGCCCTCTTGAGAGGACACTGTTAGCACCCCCTCCGTTAAGCTCTATGATGTGGATACACGAAAAGATGTCCTGAACCACCATGAGAAAACTTAGGCTTAAAGAGGTTAGGCACCTTGTTAAAGGTCAAGAGCAAAGAGGAAATTCAAATACAAAGTCTGCTCTGACTCCAGGGGTCTCTTTATCCTTTTATACAGTACCTCAAGCACTCATTGATGTCA